AAAAAAAAATACAATGAATGTTTGTTAGAGTGTTCAAATCTGACAAGATACATGATGCACAAAAAATGAGTCAATGCTAAAACCAAGTATAAAGCTGTGTGTACTCTGGCCCCTCATGCTCTGGAAGGTGAGTGGACGGTCTGGCACGCACCTGCACATGCTACTCACTGTTCCACCTCTGTTCGCAGGTAATGGGTACAGTCTGAAATTTTTTTCAGTTGAGCAAAGTTTAATCTTTCTGAACACATGGGACATGTGCTTTCAGTGTTTAACATGCTGTATGGGGGAAAGAAATTCAGAGTAAGTTAAATATGTAATACTCCTTTACCTTTGGGTTACTCTAAAATGAAAAACAACTACTTTCTATTTACACTTCTTAGCATGTGTTCAGCATGCAATTTAAAAATCAGAAATATTCAGTCTCATGCAAGATCCTCTTTATGCATAATGTTCTCAAGGGTCATAGAAGGTTCTCCCAAGATGATTTGAGTCTTTAGGGATCTTTAGAAACATAAACAAACAAGGAACTTCAGAATAAAAGACTGGTAGAATGAGAGGCCTATTTTTGGATAAAGATGAAACGTCTGTGCGACTGAGTAAAAAGATGCACACTTACATTTTTAATTCTGAGTACAGAGCAGGGAAGTCACAATGTGGACACACTGTCCAATCATCTTTCAACATATGGCGACCCTGGAAACAGTACATTTAAGAGTAAAATTCATCTTTGTTTTAAAAACTCCTACCATTATTCATTTATGATAATTAAATTACAGTTAAAAGCCAGACCTCTTAAATGATGAAATTATTGATATTTCACACAGGTGGGTAAGAAAGAAAGAGATGGCATCAAAGGGTCTAAAGCTTGGTTTTACTTATCAGGTTCATGTTTAAAGGAAAAATAATCGTCAACTTTGTGACATCATTACCTGAATTTATTTTTCTTTAAGATAAAGCTTATATTATCCCAGTGACTAACAAATAATCTGATATTCAAAATTTTTCTGATAATAGGTCTTAAAATTAAAATGATAAAAATTACACTTATAAAGTGATACTGCATGCCATATGGTACCAGGGCTTCGTACATGTTATCTCATCAATCAGTAGTTGATCTCAGTAAGCAGGTATTGTTACAGATGAACCTAGCAAGGTAAAGCAAATAGTGCCAGGTTATGTAGCCAAGAAGTGGCAGAAAAAGGATTTAAGCCCAGGACTGTTTGACCCCACATCAGTGCTGTACTGCCTGCTCCACAGAGACTTCCTGATGGGGCCTTCACTTAGATTATTATATGCTTCAAGTATAACTTTCAACTTCGATGATCATGAAATTATATGCTAACTGTTATGTAAATATATGCAAGAAATTTGAGGGATAAGATTATTTGTAAAGAAAATATTGACATACATCAAGTATTCAAATGGGTTATAAATATATATGCAAAGAAAGGGAAATTATTATAAAGAAACTTACTGTGGCAATGCAATACGGGNCGCTCACTGGCTGAGCGAGGTGCGGGCGCAGCACCGAGGGTTGCGATCCGTTGCCGGACATGAAAGAAGACAAAAAGGAAAAAAATAAATAAATAAAAATAAATGGTGCTGGGTCAACTGGATATCTACATGCAAAAGAAGGAAGTTAGTTCCCTCTCTCACACCATATACAAAAAATAAATGGATCAAAGACCTAAATGTGGGAGTTACAACTATGAAACTCCTAAAAGGAAACATAGGTGTAAATCTTCATGACCTTGGATTAGACAATGATTTTTTATTTTTAATTTATTTTTAATTTTTTTTTTTTGTCCTTTTTGAGACCGGCCGCACCGCGCTCAGCCAGTGAGCGNTTTGTTTTTGCAGGTGCAATAAAGAAACACTGGCCAGAGGGTTTTGGAAGATATAGTGGAGGGAGACTGAGAGGACTTGCGGGTGGGGGTAAGGGTGAGATGACTCAAGATAACATCTAGAGTGTCTGTCCTGACCAACCAGTTGGATGGAGCTGCCACTTCCTGAGGGAGGGAAGACTGCGAGAGAGCAGGTTGTGGCGGGAAACCTAGAGTGCCATTTTAGTCAGACTGTTTGAGATACTGTGTCATGTTCTCACCATGTTATAGTCCCACTTTTTCCTTTAGTAAAAGTTTCTCCTGAGTTTTGGCAGGGCTTTTGGTTTCCCAACTTGAGACTGTATTTCTCTACCTCCCTTTGCAGCATGTGTGGCCATGAGTAAATTCTTGCCAACAGAATGAAGCGGAGTGGTATGTGTAGCTTCCATGTGACAAAAAAGAGACTTGGAAAGAAAAAGAAAGGGATTTTTCAAATCACTCAAAGCCAAAATTTTTTACAATATATTCTTCTGAATTGTATCATATAACCTAAAACAATCTCAATTTTTATTAGCTGGCTCTAGTTTTAATGGACTGACTAAAAAGGACACTATGTGATTTGATAAAATAAGGGGATGCTTCCAAAAGTTCATAGAAAGATTCATATTATCTTTTAATTCCATTTTCCATAAATTTTTTGAAGTATGCTCGTATGTTGTAGTTGGAATCCGTGATGCTGCCTGGCCAATTAACCTCTGTCACCATGGAGACTACAGGGCCTGCATTTTAGCATTAAAAAAAAATACAATGAATGTTTGTTAGAGTGTTCAAATCTGACAAGATACATGATGCACA